AGCCAATCGCAGTCGGCGCTGGAGGGACGCCGCGGCCTCAGGTCAGACCCAGGAGGGCTCTTCTGCCGGCGGGCCCGGCGCGCTCCGGGGGAGGTGACGGCGGTGGCGTGTGGCCCAGCTCCGCCACGTTTTTGAGGGAAGGGGAATTCTAGCTCTGGCCCCCCTGCGCCTCCGTTCGTAGCCCGAGGCTAAAATGAGCTGTGTAAGGGCCTATCCTCCACCCCGCCAAGGTTTTGGAAGACTGGATTCTTCGGGAGCTGGGAATGTTGGGTGACCTACTTTGCTTGGGCCTAGGGGCTCTCTCTGGAGCTCCTCCTGCCGCATCATGCCAGGGAGAGAACTTCAGGACTTTACAGTCCAGGCTTTCCCCTTCAGCCCTCCCTTGGGACCACCCTAGGACTTTAAGCTGGAAAAGCAGCCCTGTGGGGCAAGAACCAGGCAGCCTGTGTTCTCTACCTGGTCCTACCGCTACCTAGGGTTTCAATGTCCTGTCATGAGGTTGTGCTTTCTTTCAAGGTTTTGGGGAAGTTCCCAACCAGTGTTGCTGTGTAAACGGTTGTCGTTACCTACCCAAAAGGAGTGGCTGTTAAGCATGTCCACATTCCCCTTTCGGTTGTCCCCACAGCCTGGCCTGAAAGCTCACCACATGCTTTTATTAGTTTCGTGGTACTGGGACTGGGGCCAAGAATCCTGAAGACACGGTGGTAGGGGAGAAAGGGCAAGACATCCTAGACCAGGGAAGGACCACTATGGCCACTTCAGCATGTCCAGCCTTAGGGCTTCAACCATCCAAAGCCCTGCACTTCACACACTATCAAAAGCTTGCCTCTGGACAGTCTCTGAGGTGGAGTGGCTGGAATGCTGAGCTTTTGAATTGTGACTGGGCCTAGGTTTTATTCATTTGTTTAATGGGAGATGGCAAGTGGGAAGGAGATCATCCTCTGGGTTTCCTCTCTGTGACAACAACCTGTCCAGGAGCCCTGAGGGTTTGGCTAGAGATGAGGCTTTCCCTGAGCTCCCACCTTCCTCTACCAGATAGTTCCCAGCTCCGCCCACCTTCAATCTCCACATTGCCTTTAGGAGGTCTTGGCTGGCCATAGGCATTCCTTGTGCCACTCAGGAGTCCCAGTCTGATTCCCCTGCTGCCTCTGTTTCCCTCTGTGAGGTGATTTGTTGGGCTGGGAGAGAGAGCAGGAAGCCAACACCAAGCACATGAACATCTGGGGCTGCATCCCTTCTGAGTCTGCTCAGGGGAGCCAAGCTTCAGACCACCCTCTCTGTATCACATTTACATAACACCTGTCAATTTTCTTGCTTTGAATTCAACCTCATTCTCACATTTGATTCTGGCAACTAGGCTAGGAGGTAGACAGGCAAGTTCACTCCCATAGTTCAGGCAGATTTACT